TTCGAACAAAAAAAGCAAATTTAACTGTCGCTGTGATTTTAAATGGACTGCAGCATAAAAACAAAATCAGTTGTTTACAAAATATAAAAAATAATAAAATTAAAAAGAAGAAAATAATATAACAAATAAAAAAACTTTTTATAAAACCACATTTTTGTAATGAACTAAAAAGTAGAAAATAATTTTCTCTTGTGGCTATAGAAATTTTTGAAAATTAATTGAGTCGATAGTAAGTGACATGAAAACTTTTGATTATGAACTTTTAATAATTACAATAATATTTGTAAAATTTTAAACAAAAAACGTGGTGCGCATTTAATGAAAAAAAAAGAACAGAAGAAGGAAGCAATAGTTAAAGTAATTAAGGATGATGATGATCATTTAAAGTGACAAGATGCTGACAAGATGAAGATTTGTTATATTATATATAATCTGTCCATTGGTAATCTGTCCTTTGAAAAACAATGTGAATCATCTTACTATTTCTAGTAATTTTAATAACACTTAAAATTTAAAAATTATTTTTCTGCACCTGGCCTAGTATTTGCTGGTCTCCTGATCATCAGCTTTTGATCAGTTTAAAATGTTAGAATGATTCCATGAACAGATTTGTAATTTGTTTTCCTTCTGCAGTTTCATTTTTACATTAAGAAGACAATTAACTGGTGCTTGATTAATGAAAAACAACGAATTCGGACCATGAAGAAAACTTTACTTTTAAACAGTTTTTTTTTTCCCGCTCTTTACATTCTTTTTTATATCACGCTTTAGATCATTATGATATCACGCTAAAAAGTTTTCATTATAAAAACCATTTGGCTTAAATTTATCTCGGTATGTTGCAGTGTTAATTTTAAGTTATTACACTATGGATACATTGTTAATATTATTATTTCATGGATTATTATTATTATTTATTGTTATTACAGTATTCTAAAGTATTGAAAGAATTACAAAAAATATTCTGAAAGAACATTTTTAAAATTCTTCTAATTACTATAGATATATACAGCAAGGTTCAATGCATTATCCCCAAAACGTTTTTTAATACAGGCATCGACCTAGACCCGACAGAACAAATTTGCCAGTTGACTATTATACCTGTTTTAACATACTGTGGGAATCTTTGCCTTAACCAACAATATCAAAAACAGATAAGCTCTTTGCATACACCTGCATCTTATATAATAAATGCAAACTGCAAGCATGAAGTGAACACAAAATCACCATTTTCGCAAATTTTTGTTGCATCTTGTCTATAAGCGAAGCAATGCGTTCTTTATTTATCATGCTCAATCTTTACCAGGGCCGCCGAGAGGGAGGGGCAAAAGGGGTATACGTGCCCCGCGCGCCATGGTTATAGAGGCACCAAAAAAATACCATAATGAGATTTTTTTTGTAAAAAAATTGTAAAAAGTAAAAAAAAATATTAACGAAGACACTAAGCCTTATCCAAAAAAAAACATTTTAAAGTAAAATAATTGCAAAAAGTTAAAAAAAAATTATTTACGCTAGACAAATTTGGTCAAACTTTTTCATTTAATTTAGTTTTTACGAAGGTTTATGCAAAGGCAATGACTTTATTCCCCAATACTTAGACAAGAAAATAAATTGCTGTTTTAATTATTAAATATATTATTTGAGATTTTAAACATAACAAAATTTTAATGTGAAAAAAGTTCTCGACTTATTCTAAACTGATTTTACTGAGTCAATGCTCGCCTTTTATTACGTTGAAATTATTCAATTGCATAATTTTGTAATTACGAAAGAAGTTAAAAAAATAATTGCATTGCTTCTGTTGTCATTGTTACGAAAACAGTTCCTTCGGGACATTATTATATATTAACACTCGTTCACAATGTCAATTAATGATCGCAAAATAAGCAACTCAATCGTTTGACAATAACATTTTCTTTCATTTTAAAAAAAAAACAAATATATTTTACTAATAAATAGCAATCGTTTTCGTGTTTTCTTGCGTATCAATACATTCAAACATTAAAATCAATACATTTAAACATTCAAAATGTATTTACGAAACATTTAAAAAATGTTTATAGTTCTATCGTGAATTTTAAAGTATTACTGACTGATAAAAGTCATAAACAAATTTTACATTAAAAGGTCCTTTTATTTTCTTTAAGCATTAATCTTTTTCTTTTTGATTTGATTTTTCTTATTGATTTGATTTTTCATAGCTTAAGTAACTACCACCCTAAATAAATAAATTATAGGTAAATTTTTTTTTTTAATAATATGCATTAATTTTTTAATTTTAAAGCACAAACAGATTTCTGTTATTCACTTTTAGATTGCTTGCATTTTTGCGGTATTTTTGTTTAGCTTTGTTTTGGCGCGAATTCTTGAAACGCATAATAATAAAACGTGGTCAGTTAGTCAGAAAAATTTATTCTATGCGTGGACAAACAAGGCGTGCGACCGCACGCCTTTCCTGGGAAAGCCTGACAACTAATTATTATTTGTTTTAAAAAAATTATTAGTTTTTAACAAATAATATTACTAAAAGGGGAAAATTGAAACACAGTATTGAGACAAACCATGCTCCAACACTTTTGCAATGTTGCAAATTAAAAAAATGTATCTGTTAACTTTATTGGATTGACTTTTTTTATTTTATTTTAATTTTATGAACTCCAAAGAAGGTGATTTTCAAGTTATAGTCGGGTTTTTTTACGGATTTAGTTAGCTAGTCGGGTATTTGACATAATTCAGTTGGGTATAATTTTGTTTTGAGGACTAAGCATTGTCCACCGCAGTTTCTACAGTAAGATGCAGTGGTACAACTTTTTTACGGCAAATTTTTAGTAACGCTTTGTACTTTTTGAACACTAGTTGGAAGAATTTTACAATAAACTTAACTATACTTTGTCATTTCTAACTAACAAGTGTGTCTGACGGTCTTATTACGGAAATGACGGTCCCTTTTACGCACATTTATTTTCAACTAAAATTCAATTTATTCAAAACAAATTTTTGTGATACCTAGAATTTCTATTTCATGAAAATTGCAGGAGATCTTTGATGACTTTTTGAAAATGAAGATTTTTTTATACAAAGACTGTCAAATTAAATGACGCTAAAAAGATTTTCTGTATACACTTTGAGTAGGAATGATTTTGTTATATATTTTTATTTTGTTTTATTTTTGTAAAATTGTGTATAAAGAGCAAATTTTACAATAATTTTGAATCTAAATAGTTTCTTTGAGATTTTTGCTACTAAAGTTTGACCCCTTGTAAAAAATATTTCAAATGTTTGTATTTAGTTTTATTAGAAGGTACTTTCTTACCTCATTTTTACCACGTTTTTATTAGCTCGCTTTCTTGTTTGTTTGTTTGTCCGGGTGGAATTTTGCAACTCAATTTTAACCCACTTTTCGATTAGGTAGAGCTCTGAAACTTTTACTATAGCTCAGAACCCGATGACAATGCAATATTATACTACTTTTACCATGATTTGCCGAGTTTCTTAAACAATTTTAGCAAAATAAAATTTATTATGGCAAAACTTTTGGAGGCGTCGCCGCAATTTGACGCGTCGCTTTAAATAAATTCGAACAAAAAAAGCAAATTTAACTGTCGCTGTGATTTTAAATGGACTGCAGCATAAAAACAAAATCAGTTGTTTACAAAATATAAAAAATAATAAAATTAAAAAGAAGAAAATAATATAATAAATAAAAAAACTTTTTATAAAACCACGTTTTTGTAATGAACTAAAAAGTAGAAAATAATTTTCTCTTGTGGCTATAGAAATTTTTGAAAATTAATTGAGTCGATAGTAAGTGACATGAAAACTTTTGATTATGAACTCTTAATAATTACGATAATATTTGTAAAATTTTAAACGAAAAACGTGGTGCGCATTTAATGAAAAAAAAAGAACAGAAGAAGGAAGCAATAGTTAAGTAATTAAGGACGATGATGATCATTTAAAGTGACAAGATGCGCACCACGTTTTTTGTTTAAAATTTTACAAATATTATCGTAATTATTAAGAGTTCATAATCAAAAGTTTTCATGTCACTTACTATCGACTCAATTAATTTTCAAAAATTTCTATAGCCACAAGAGAAAGTTATTTTCTACTTTTTAGTTCATTACAAAAATGTGATTTTATAAAAAGTTTTTTTATTTGTTATATTATTCGGAATCATGTAAGGAGGGCCCTTTCCCCCTCCTATGAATCTGCCCTTGATATATATATATATATATATATATATATATATATATATATATATATATATATATATAATATATATATATACATATACATATATATATATATATATATATATATATATATATATATATATATATATATATATGTGTATATATATATATATATTTATATATATATATATATATATATATATATATATATATATATATATATATATATATATATATATATATATATATATATATATATATATATATATATATATATATATATATATGTATATATATATATATATATATATATATATATATATATATATATATATATATATATATATATATATATATATATATATATATATATATATATATATATATATATATATATATATATATATATATATAAATCAGGCTTTCACAGGAAGGCGTGCGATTTCACGTCTTTATATGACCACGCAGATTACATTTATTTAAAATTACATATGTTAAAAAAAAACGCAAATTACATATGTTAAAAGTCGTTGTCAAACCGTTAAAACATATTATTTTTTTGCGTGGTCTTATAAAGATGTGAAATCGCACACCTTCCTGTGAAAGCCTGTATATATATATATATATATATATATATATATATATATATATATATATATATATATAATATATATATATATATATATATATATATATATAAATATATATACATATACATACATATTATTATAGATATGTATATATAAAAAAAATTGTATTACATTTGAAATAAAATGATATTAAAGTAACAAAATAAAAATATACTTGAAAACAATAAAGGACTGCACATCGAAGAGAAAATGGTTGCTTGTCACTTATCATTGACATCAATAAAACAACAATAGCAGGTCTAAAAAATAATAAATAATCTTATACAGGTATTTTTTTTAAATAATTTTGTCTATAAAAATGTGTGTATATGTATGCATACACACAAATACATTTATATAACACATATAATCATAATTTATAAATTTACAAATATAGTTCAACTAAAAAACTTATTACAATAGAACTCATACTTTGGAGGCGTGTAAGGAGCATCGACAACTGAAAAAAAAGCCTGATTAGTTTGATTTCCCCGAATAATCTCCGCCACAGTATTAACGGTCTATTATTGCAAAATACCAAATTCTTATTACATCATTGTTTAGAACTGTTTTTAAAAATTAATACAATCAAAATATAAACATCAAAATGGCTGCTTTTTAATATTTTTTAAATCAAAATGGCTGCTTTTTAACATTTTAAAAATAAAAACCTCTGTAAGTATTTCTGCAGGAATACCAGTTTTCATTAAAAGGTCACATAATATTTTTAACAAATCTAAATTTGAAAATAAATCATAATTTGAAAACAAATTATAAAAACAAGTAAATAAAACTTTTTTTTTAGTAAATATTAAAATTTATTTAATTTTAAATTAAAAACATACTTCTATTAAAAACACAGTACAAAATAAAATAATGCACAACAAAAACATAAGAAATGAAATAGCGCAAACACAGTACAAATAACTTACTGCAATGATAAATCACTTTTTGTGAGCTTTGTGTTGATTGAGGAGGGTTGTTTGGGGATACTAATGTGCGAATTAACTAAAGAATTTATGTCTTGAAATCATTAACTTATTTCTCATTAATTTTTTATTTTAATAATTTGAAATTATTATTATTGATTATTACTAATACTTCAAACTTATATCTAATTTTTAAATTTAACTATATTAAACTCACGCAAATGAATTTATGGTTTCATGTTTCACTTTGTTTTGATAACGTTGGTAACAATATTTTTATCATTATCATTTATTTATAACTTTATCACTCTTTATCTATCTAGTGGCAAAAATAAGCATAGATATTTTCACCTGTAACATCAGTAAAACATTTTTCATTTTAAGCTCACTCCAAGTTCTTCCTTCTAAAAAAAGTGATTAGCATCATTTCATTTTTTCAACAATATTTAAAAATCATTATGTTAATTAACTTCAAAAAAAGTCTCTTTGGTCAACTGAAAAAAAAAGTTTTTAGTACACCTTCAAATTAACTTATAAAAGAAAAAAAATACCTTCAGTATAATCAGAGAAGTCAAAAAAAGGCACCAATCTTGGAATATAGCTAATTAAAACAAACAAAAAATCAAGTTAAACAAAGATTTAAGCTAAATAACTCATAAAATTTTTATTTCTAAAACAAATTAAGAATAACTCTTGAAAGATTTCCAAAACCAAAAATCAGTTAAAACAAGTTCTGATAAACATATAGCTACCTTCCTTCTCTGAAAAAATTTATATTTGAAGCATTAAAAAGGTTCGACATCAAAATAAGACAATCTTCAGTAATTACACCTAAAAACAAAATATATCAATAGATATAATAAATGCCACGATAAATGGCATGATAGTACAGAACTTAAATAAACATAGAAGATCATATTAAAAAAAATTAAAATCACACTGAAAATCAAATTAAAAAAAACAAATAACTGTGAATGCGTGTTTATATACTAAAATAGCCTGCTGCCAGAGGCTTTAGTACATACACCAATTATCTTATAGCCTGTTTCCACAAAGGAGTGTTGCTACATCAACTGAGGGTTTGGCATGGGGCAGCAATCTTTTATTTGGAACGTTATGAAAATCCTGTTATTGAAAATGACTGGCCTCGATGTTACTTTTCAGATCAAAAACATTTTATATGTATTTATGGTTTCAATGGTAATAATCTGTTCTTGATTCTCTTTTGTTTTTAATCTACGTTAGTGATCTAACAAACTCTGTTCACTTCTCGTCAACTCATCTGTTTGCTGATAATACAAATCTCTCACATATCAACAAACCATATAATTCTTTATGTAAATTTGGATCTGAAAGGCATAGTTCACAGGTTACATGCTAACCTAATATGTCTTAACACCAAAAAAACTGGCAAATTTTTTTTTCATCTGTGGGAAAAAACTATTTCTTTAAAAATGTGGAAATTAAAATCAAAATTAATAATAAACGGCTACATCCTTGGAGAGTTATTAAATATCTTTGTGTATTGATTGACTGCAATCTTTCATGGAACTTTCGCATTGATAAGCTACAGAAGAAACTATTTCAAGTTAATGGTTTTCAATAATTTGATATTATAACTATAAAGCTACACTTAAGAATATTTACTACTCTCATCTCATCTTAACTATTCAATCTTGTCAATTTTAGGGTCAAGTTGGAAATAATCCCATTAACAAGTCATAAATCCCATTAACAAGTCATAAATCCCATAAGCTACGTCTCAACGTAAATCAATTAGAATAATAAACTTCCAACCATTTAAATCAGATATATTACAGTCTTTCAAAAAACTTTCCAACATTTCCATTCACATTCCAACATTAGTAAAGTATACTAATTCTTTTTGTTATTGACTCCTTAAATAAAAATCATCTTTCATTACAAACTTGAAAGTAGACTAATACATTCCTACTCTACTAGAAATACTCAATGTATGTATAATGCAAATGAAAAACTAAATGTATAAATTTTAAAACCCAGAAGTATGGTAAACATTCTATTGTCTATAAGTGCAGCTGTGAATGGAACAGGAGCCTTGTATGCATTTTAAATTATTTTTTTCATCTGAAAAAAAATCAAATATTTTTATGATACAAATTGATTCAAAAAATTTAATTTGCTAAAAAGTTTTACTATTATTACTAATTTATTATTACTAATTTTTTCTACTTAAACATTTGACCTTCTTTTAAATCTATCATTATTATATTTTTGAGCAGTTATATAAATGCTAATAAAAACTCTTTTTAAAACTTATTATAACAGTAATTAGTTTACTCTAATTTAAATGTCGTTATGAAATGTAGCGTTTATATATTTAAGGCCCTTCAAATCAAGCATATATGGTAAAATTGTACAAAAACAGGCTTTTTTAGAAAAATCCAGAATGTGCTTTTTGGAGCTAGCATGCCACTGCTAAGATAAAAATTCAAACAAAGTAAAATAAAAAAAATTTGACTATGCAAAAAAACAACTGACTATCAATTCTGTGTTTTACTTGGTACAGATACACCTGAAGATGTCTCTAAAATAATCAAAAAATCTCAAACTCAAGACATCACCATGCAATTTTGTTCCTAATGACATCCTAAAACCTTGTGCTGAAGTTTTTAGTCCTATTATTGCTCACCTAGCTAACCTATCATTTAATTTAGGAATTTTCTCAGCCTCAAACAAGATTGCCCAAATAACACCAAAATCCCCAAAATTTTTGTTTCAATTGGAACAACAAAATCCTTCATCTCATATATTTCAACAAGAGTACCACAAGGTAGTGTTATTGGCTCATTTCTATTTTCCATGTTTGTGTCTCTCATAAATCAGATTATAACTAAACTTGGATGTAGTCACCATCAATATGATGATACTCAATTACATACTACCTTTAGACCAGGCATAAACCACATAAACAATATAGTTCAATGTGCAAATACAATCAGAAAAGAGATTACTGCTTAATCCAAAAAAAAACAGAAGCTTATTCTTATTTCGAACTAGTAAACAAACATTTAAACTTAAAGACAAAACTCAATTTTTTTTTCAGGTGCAACTCTTGGGGCATCAAATTTGGTAAAAATTCTTAGTATTACCTTAGATTAAACACTCTCTATGGACCAACACATAAAGAATTTAGTAAAAACCTGCAACTACCATATTTGTGCACTTCAATACATACGTCTATTTCTTACCAAAAATGCTGCAAAAATAATTGCGTGTGGAATTGTAAACTCACTTGATTACTGAAACAGTCTTCTATATAAAACTTCTCAAAAAAATTTAAACAAACTTCAACGTATTCAAAATAAGTTAGCTTGTGTTGTTTGTCACTCTCCTTTTCATTCACAGTCTGAAAATTTGCTTCAACCACTCTACTGAACTTTTCAAAACTGCTTACTCAACCTAAACAAATGCATGTTTATTAGTGCTTCTGAATCACTTTATCATATTTATGATTGTTGTACTTTAAATCTGATTGTTGTACTTTGTATGGTACTTTTTCTCTAATTATTATATATATATATATATATATATATATACACACACACACACACACACACACACACACACACACACACACACATATAAATATATATATATATATATATATATATGTATGTGTATACATATAGATATTACAAATAATCACCTCCATTGCTGTATCCTTCATCACTGATCACTTCAAGTAGCCTATCAAAAGCATTTTCAAATGCAACAATTTTCTAAACACAAATTAATAAATGCACACTATGAATACAAACTATACAATCAACCCGCGGAATCAGGAATAACAAGGTCAGCAATAATTTGCCAACCTCGATCTTTTAGAGGTTGGCTTAAGTATTTTGAGTTAGTTGTTTTTAATTTTTCTAATAAAATGTAAACATGTTTTTTAAAAAAAGTAAATATAGAAGATCGGAAAAAAATTAAAAACAAAAAAACTTTTCTTTTTAATTTATAGATTTGCCTGCCCAAACCAAAACCCTCAGTTGATGTAGTAGCACTCCCTGAATGTTTTATCTATTTAATTCAGTCTATGTATGTACACTATGTGCATGTGCTACCTATTTAAATCAGTTAATGTATGTACACTCCTTGCATGTTTAATGTACTTAAGTCAGTTAATAAATAAACACTCCCTACATGTTCTACCTATTTTAAAAGTCGGGGCCCACCAGCCACAAAGAATAAATTTTTTTGTTTATGCGACACAATGATCCTTAAAAGTGACCAACGGAGCCGCCCAGTTACGTAGATCTGGGAGATGTGAAAATAAAAACAAATTGAAGATGATGTCATTTAGGTAAAAAAACATAAATTAATGTAAAGACTATTTAGTAGGAAGAGTAAAAGTTAGCAACTCAGGAAGAGAGGAACCATAACTCACACTCTAGTCATCTTTAGCAAATGATAAAACAATGATCTGAATAAACAAGTCAATAAAAATCTGCTGGTTTATTTCATTTATTGATTTTGACAAAAAATTCAAAAGACAAAAAATGGTTGTAAGAGGTAAAAAAATGTTGGTACCATAATAACCAATAAGAATTAAGTAGTAAATAATTTTTTATCATGAACAGTATATTTAAGTGTCGAGTACATAAGAGGGTATATTAAAGTGTATATTAGGGTAAAAATGCACTTTTTTATAAATATTATAAAACTTTTTGAAAAAAAAACTATTGTTAAAAAAAAAAAGTAAAAATGCACTTTTATTTAAGTTAATTAACTTCATTTTTTATGCTGTTAAATCTAACATATTTATTTTTATATAATATAACTATCAGTTTTTAAATTTTCTTATGATTTCACTTTATTTGTCAATGTTTTCAACACACTTTTGAAAAAAAAAAATTAAAAAAATAAAATAACAAAAGAAATTCTTTAGTAATTTATAATGGAAAAATAATAATTTATATAACAATAAGTACCTAAAAAAATTCTTTAGTAATCTATAATGAAAAAAAAAAAAAAATTCTATAATTTGATGAAAGAAAGAATTTTTAGATTTCTTATCGAAATTCTATAATGATGTAATATACTAAAACTCTTTTGAATTAAACATGCTTGAATAAACTATAAAACCTGTAGATTATGACGTATATTTTAAAGACTTAAAGCAACTGGCTAACATGGAGACGACAAGCTTTGAGTAAAAATAACAAAGTTAGTTTTTCTTGATATACGTTTATTATTATTTTTTACTCAAAAAAATTAGTCCACACATTTTTTTTATCATTCTCTTTAATATGAACACAACTTGTCTCGACACTTTGGGATCCCTTTGAAATTGAAAAAGAAAAAGTAGCTTCGTAGGAAAAGAAATGAAAATCAGTCATAAAAGTAATATTTGTTTTTGAAGTGATTGTCAAGCAGCCAATACCAGGTTGTCAAGTAGCCAACGTCGAATTTCCAAGCAGCCAACACCAAGTTGTCAAGTAGCCAACACCAAGATTGTCAAGTACTTTAAACTTTTTGAGAGATGATTTACAAGTCATTTAATAAGAGTTTTGTTTTGAAAGTCTCCACTTGTTAAAATTAAAAAAAAATAGGTTTTTGCAAATAAACTGTCACATTTATATAAATTCTTGTGCTATTTGAAAAAATTTAATCTTCAAAAATTTTATGTTTATCATGTATAGTGTAGCAAGTTTTGTTTATGCAAAAGATCAATTAAGCCTTTAATTTGTTTGAAAGCTTTTGTTAACACACTTTCTACTTGGCTTTTGTCTTTAAAAAACTGGGAAAAGATTCATTTTATTAGACTTATTATTTATATTGTTTTGTGGATAAAAATTTTTTTTATCTGAACGTTTAAATCTTGATTGCAGTTAGTGAATTTAATCATCACTTTAGTATTTTGTTTTGGATCATATGGATATGGCTAGATGGATCATATATATGAATATGGCTAGATGGATCATGTATATGAATATGGCTAGATGGATCATATATATGAATATGGCTAGATGGATCATGTATATGGCTAGATGGAAGAGTTGTTTTGTGCCAGAGAATCAATGTTTTTGTCAGGACAAAATCCATGTTGGCATGGATTTAATAGTTTGATATTAAAATAGATATGGGATAGATATTAAATATGGGACAAGTTATTGCATCATATCATATTTGATAAATAGAGAAATAATTAGAGGTATGAAAGCAATTATTCTTAATAATGTCACAACCATTCCTCTAAATTCATTATAATGATGTATTTAAAGGAAAGTATGTTTTCATATTTTGTCTAAATCAATTTATCAAGTTATAAAGTGACACTTTATAACTTGATGCAATCAAGTTATAAAGTGATGCTGCTAATTTTTTTTTGGTTAAAAAATAAACAAAGTTATTTATCAAGGTTACAATTTTGTTTTGTTTTACAAGTTACAATTTTGTTATCACAATAAATGTTTGGAATTACCTCCTTGTTTTATTTTCTAAATTTAACATGAATAAAATGCTTTGGGATTATGCTTTTAGCAATTTTTTTTCTCAAATTGATGTACAATGCTAGATTTGTTTTGTTAGTGCATAACACATTTTTTTATCATTTCTACATGATTTTTTTTAATTCACTCCCAACAAGGCTGGAAGCAATCATTATTAAGTTGGGAGTTACTAGAAAAAAAAAAATAGAATTAAGGAACAAGAAAACAGTTGAAGATGGGAGAGAGTTCCAAAGAGAGCATGCAAGGACAGATACAGTAAAAGAATGAGACTGAATGACAAGTCAAGTGAGAATAAGTTTTGATTAATGGAAATAGAGATCATAGCTCCTTTGAGCTATCATCTTTAGTTCTATTAGCGATCATGATAGTATTTGTAAAAAAGATAAAAAGATAAAAAGATGCAACTTTATGCTTTCTACCTCGTTTTTTTGTTTTGTTTTTGGATCATTGTTTTTGGACCTTGTCTAGAAGAGAAAGAGCATCATTAGAAAAATAGGAAGATTATTAATATAGATAAGAAATGAAACAGAATTAAGGATAGAACTTAGAGATACCCCAGAAGATACTGGAAAAAAAAAGAAGAAATGATTTGATAATCTTAAAAACTCTTCCAGATATACCATATGAAGCAAGCTTATAGAAAAAACTAGCATGCCAAAATTTGTCAAAAGCTCTAGATATGTCAAGAGCAAGAGTTATAGCCTCTTTGTTTGCATCTAATGCACAATAAAATTTTTCAGTCACAGCAGTTAGCAAGTCTGCTGTAGAGTAATATGATCAAAAACCGTATTAATTGTCGAACAGTAAATTATTGGACTCAGGATGGAAATTTAAATTAGAAATTTGTTGATCAAAGTCTCAAAGACTTTGCTAATAACAGAAAGAAGACTGATCGAACAATAGTTAGAAGGGTCAGAATTGTTTCTGGAGTTTGGAACCACAGATGTCATCCAGGAGCCAAGAAAACAAGATTTAGTCAAACACTTAATTGTTTAGGGAGAATTTAAGAGAGAACATTTTGACAAGATGACAAAAATGTTGACTACAAGCCATAGAAGAAGTCAATTGAGATATGACTTTAGCAACGGATGCTGGAGTGATTTGAATGTTTAATAATTGGTTAACATGTTTAATTGGAATAGAAGGAAGAGTATAGCCATAAGATTAAAAAGTTAAATTAGAGGAAAAAGTTTTTTGCAAATAGTTATGCCTTTTCCTTGGGTAACATAATAAGAACAGTCCCATGAATGAGAGATGGAATGTTAGATCTACCTTTGGTTAATGACGCTGTTGAAAACTTCCAAAAAGTCTCTATAGCCTAACTTCTAAGAAACTGAACACAAACTAGGGTTAGAGACAAGACACAAATCAAGGAGTGAAGGTTAGTGATTAGGGTTGTCTGGTAAGCAAATCACAAAATTAACTATCTTTGTAAGAGATTGAGAAATGCAGAAGCTATGGACTTTAATACAGTAGGGTCAGTGGTGTTAGAGCCAATCTGTTCAGTGTGAAGAGCATTAAAGTCACCAATAACAATATTTGCAGAGGGATAAAGAAAATAGCATCATCAATATGACCAGAAATTACATCTAAAGAGTGCAGTCTTGAGATGGTAGAAAGAGAATAATAAAAAACACAAACAAAGGTGATAGTGTGAAGAGATGTTAAGTGGAAGCACGTAAAAAGTTGGTCAAAAGATTTAAACCTTACTTTTAAACAAATAGGTGAATTGATGCATAAGAATACCCCCAAGCCAAGCATGTGACTATTGGAGTATTAGTGAATCAATCGATAGTACCCATCAATAGTGAAATATGAAGAAGGAACATCTGAATTTAAATTAGTCTCACAAAGAGCAAGTGAGTCTGGTGAATTTTGCAACAGGTAAGATTCAACTAATAGAAGGTTACTTTTTAGACCACAAAAATTCTTGAAAGATATATTTAAACAATTAGGTGGTTAGGATGGTTTTTTATGTTTAAATTTTTTGGTACTTATTACTAATAGGGACACTGTCCATGTGAAACATGTCACTATTAATTCTCTGATATTTTACAGCTGTTGATGGAATCAGCCTCTTTGAGAGCTACCACAGAGTTTGGGAAACCTTACTACCAGCTGGCATCAGAACCACTAAGTTTTAGAGTTGCACCCTCATTAGGAGCCAACAGGAAGAGTTGCATAGCCATTATCAAGAAGACACAAGCAAAAATCTATGATTAAGTATTCAAGAAGGCAAGAAACAATGTAACAGCTTTACATCAAAGCCA